TTTCTCTGTCTCTCCAGCGAGCACATGCACCCTATAGCAAAAATCTCTAAAAAAAATTATATTGGGACCAGCATAATGGCTGGGAAAAGCTAATGTCCCTGGACTCCCATGTAGTTGTTCGCAGTTCAAGTTCTGGACCTGGTGGCTTAAACTCACGCTGGGTGTTTATGCGTGCATGCCCAAGATCTTGAGAGGAGAATGGAGAAGGGATTGCAGCATGGCCATCCCCCCCCCACGCCCAGGGGGTGATTTCTCACTTTCTGTCTCTCTGTCTCTCTCTGTCTTTCTGGTAAGTACACATGTCCTATAGCAAAAACCTCTCAAAAAAATATGATATTAAATCTTAAAAGCTGCGCCCTTCATTTGAAATATTTCCTTCAATCTTTAATCTTTGTGAACTTTTGTATATATTGAAGCATTTTATTTATTTTTTTTTAGTTTATAATCTACATTATAGGCTTTTTTAAAAGTTTTTATTGGGGCCTGTAGGTGGCATGGCATGGTGGTTAAGGATGCTGGACTCCCACATGGTTGACCACAGTTCAAGTCCCGGACCTGGTGGCTTTTTTTCTCACTTTCCTTTGTGCTCTTTCTCTTTCTCTCTCTCTGTCCCTCTGAATGAATGAATGAATAAAGTTAAAGAAAATAATCCTTTTTTTAAAAAAGTTTTTTATTGGGGCCAGCAGGTGGCGTGGTGGTTAAAAGCACTGGACTCCCACATGGCTGACCACGGTTTAAGTCCCAAACCTGACTGCAGCTTACTTTCTCACTTTTCCTTTCTCTCTTTTATAAGTCTCTTTCAGGTCAAATTTAAAAATAATAATAAAAAATAAAATGAAGTTAAATAAAATAATTCTTTTAAAATTTATTTTATTTTACTTTTTACTATAGGGCATGTGCACTCATTAGAGAAAGAGAGTGAGAAAAGAAAAGTGAAAAATCATTCCCCAGATGGCTACTCCATATTGCATTCTCTTCTCAATACACTCATGGCTGGAGTGTTTTTTAAGCTGCTGGATCCGAGGCTGAACCATGCTGGTGGCCATGTGGGATTCAGCCACCTTAATTACCACGCCCAAAATCCTGAGAGGAGAATGGAGGCGTAACCCTAGTAGACACACACATACGTGCGCGCGTGCACACACACACGCACGCTCCTCAGTGTATGACGAGGATATGTCCCAATAAACCCCTTATACAGGCTGGCCCTTCAGTCTTTCATGGGATTGCTTTTTCTGAATTCTGAGAGGGCATTCAGTACAAGATACTATTTAAAGGATGTTTCCTTCAAGTTTGAACAGGTATAACAGTTAAGTTGATTAGAGGTAAGGGAAAAAAGCTTTTTTAAAATGCTCATTAAAAACAGGATATTATCCATAATTAGATCAAAGGCAGGTTTGTGGTGTCTGGGTTACACCGTCTAACCTTCCTAAGTTTGTCTACATCTGAACTGAAGAGTCCAGAAGTCCTGCTCCACCCCTAGTACAAGTGGACAGCTGTCAACAGTGTTACCGAGTCACGTACCTGCAGTGCAGGCCTCAAGTTCAGCTCTTTTGGTGTTTCTTCCAGACAACCAACTACTCTTAGGCAAGCTAGGACCCTCCAGAGCAGTCAATGACTGGCTTCTCCCCACTTTGTTACATGCTGGTTTACAGCAGTACTTGTCCAGACAGATTGTGGCTCATGTGAAGGACCTAGCTTTTAAGATTTAAGAACACTTTATTGTTGGCCTATAGATTTCTCCCTCACATCTCAAAAAGACTCATGGATATTATCTCTACCTCCATAATCTCTACTGGGAGAAAAGAGAAAGTCATGTTCAGTCATTCCCTGCTCCTTCATTCAGTGGTTATCCAAATCTAGCAAAACTCTCCTAAAAACGTCTAATCTTTGTTCTCCACACTATGTAAAACCAGCTGAAAATATTTCCTTCAATCTTTGTATACTTTTGTTCCACCTCATCAAAAAAATCAGATTTGTATCTCTGCTAGATATCTTTGGTGATACAATGATGAAATGTTACAACTATCCCCTCAAAATTGACAGAGAGATAATACAGAAAGAGTTGTACACATTCAAGACTTTTTTTGCTATAGGGTGTGTGCGTTCTCTAGAAAGACAGAGAGAGACAGAGAGACGGAAAGTGAGAAATCACCCCCCAGCGGGGGATGGACACGCCGCAATCCCTTCTCCTCCATTCTACTCTCAGGATTTTGGGCACACACGCCCAGTGTGAGTTTAACCCATGGGTCCAGGACTGGAACCGCGGTTGACTGCATGGGAGTCCAGCGACATAGCCATTACGCCAACTGCTGGTCCCTAGACATTCAAGACTTTTAAAAGATTTAATTATTGGAGACAGCAGGTTGCATGGTAATTAGGGCACTGGACTCCCATATGGCCAATGCAGTTTGAGCCCTGGACTTGGCAACTTAAAAATCATGCTGGGCGCATGTGTATGCATGCCCAAAATCCCAGGAGGAGAATGGAAGAGAAGGGATTGTGGTGTGGCCATTCCCTCTGTGGGGTGACTTCTCACTTTCCCTCTCTGTTTCTCTCTCTCTGTCTTCAGCAAGCACACATGCCCTATGGCAAAAAAACTTAAAAAAAAAAAAAAAGATTTAATCATTATACCTTGCTTTTGTGTGAAAAAGCTTTTCTTTTCAATTTTCACACACATACAAAAAGAGCAATAAGCTTAGGTTTTACATCTTTAGTCACAAGTCAAAACAATTACAGAACCTAAAAACTCACCAGTCTAGCAGCAGCTCTAGTAAACACACACACACAGAAGCTCCTCAGCGTATGATGAGGATATGCCCCAATAAACCCCTTATAACTTGAAAATATCATGTCTAAAATGCACTTACCACACCTAACCTTCAGCACATCATAGCCTAGCCTACTTTAAACATGTTCAGGTCACTTATGTTTGCCCGTAGTTGGACAAAATCCTCTAACCCAAAGCCTATTTTAGGCCCAGCTACTGGTGCCGCAGGAAAACATAGTGTTCTTTGAGGCTGGAAGCCACATGTCAACCACAGATTTGGATCCCTGGTTGGCCTGAGAATTCCCTGAACACGCGCACGCAGGGACCCAAGAACCTGAGGAGTGTATGCCCAGGATCCTGAGAGGAAGGAAGAGCAGAGGAAAAGAGACTGTGGCATGACCAGGCCCCATGCAGGAGTAAGGGGTGCTTTCTCTCTAGTATAGGAAGAAAGAGAGATTGGAAAAAAAAAACTATTTGAAGGAGTTAACTAAGAGGTTGTATGACTGGGGAAGGAACATTCCATACAGAGGAAGCAGTGACTACAAAATCCCTAAATGGGAGAGTGCCTAGTGCCTGTGAGCAACAGAAGGAAACCAAGAGGACAGCTCAGCCCGAGAGCCCTGGCCATACAGGCTCTCCCAGAGGCCATGTAGGCAGGGCCTAACCACAGTCTGGCTCAAGTCCGGGGGCCTTGTGATCTGTCCTGGAGCGGGGACAGGTCGACCTGGAAGGAGCTGTTGGGAGGCAGCTTCATACCTCCACATGATGATCTGAGCCTGGCTGAGGCTGGCGGGTAGAACCCGGTATCACCAGCCTATTGGTGTTCTCTCCCTCTTTCAAGAAATACATCTTTTAGGACCAGCAGTTAGTGTAATGGCTATGTCACTGAACTCCCATATAGTGTACTGCTGTTCAAGTCCCAGACCCGGTGGCTTAAACTCACGCCGGGCACGTGTGCATGCGTGCCCATGATCCTGAGAGGAGAATGGAGGAGAAGGGATTGTGCGGCGTGGCCATCCCCCCTAGGAGTGATTTCTAGCTTTCTATCTGTCTGTCTCTTTCTGGTGAAGGCACACACCCTATAGCAAAAAACCTCTCAAAAAAAAAATTTTAAAAGACATTAATCCTAGGGGACCAGCAGGTGGTGTGGTGTGGTGGTTGAGGCACTGGACACTCCTACACCGTGGTTTGAATCCTGGACATGGTGGCTTACGTTTTTTTTTTTTTTTAATGAATGAATAAATACAATTAAATAATTCTTTTAAAAATATATTTTTAAAGACATTAATTCTAAAATGTGCATACACGGAGACCAGCAGATGGCATAAAGGGTATGTGGCTGGACTCCCACGTGGTTGATGAACTGAGTTTCCGATTTTGCCCGTGCATGCATTCCTTCCCAAAATCCCAAGAGGAGAATGGAGGTGAAAGGATTGTGGTGTGGCCATGCCAGTCGGGTGACGATTTCTCACTTTCTTTCTGTCTCTCTGTGAGTACACGCGCTCTACAGCAAAAGTATCTTTTGAAAAAAAAAAAGTGCCTGCATACCTAAATCATGGATGCCATTATTGGTAAAGCGAGATTACATTTGTGCTGTGATGCAATGAAGTTGCTCTGCTGTGGCTCTCTGGGACCCTGCAGTGTCCCGCAGCCTCTTACCCTCTGCACGCGTGCACTGCCATTCGTCTCCCATCCTGGGTTAGTCACGGGCTTGGCTAAAGTCGAGCTCCTCGGTGCCAAAGGTCGGGTCTCACACCTGAAGGGCGCCCAGCGGGGAGCGGAATGAATACTGGGCTCGCAAACAGTGCGGCCACCCAGGCCTTGGCCTCGGAGCAGCTGCTGCCGGGTTTTCTGTGTTCGCAAAGACTGGGTCGCAGGGGCGCCGCTAGACTCTCCTTATAGGTCTGGGGGATCGATCCCTCTAGCGCCCTCCACTCCTTTCCAGCCTTTCCTCCCCTCCGCCTCCCACCCACCCAGCGGCCAGCGCTCTCTACCTTCCCCACGCCCTGCACCGCCCTCCACTTCACCTCTCCCGACTCCCTCCGGGCTCTTTCAGCCGGCTCCCTTCCCTCCACTCTCCGGGT